ACACACACACACACACACACACACACACACACACACACACACACACAGACAGACTAATCAAGGACATCAGGCAAAGTGAAACTTGATCGGTGTAAACAACCTAATCAGATTTGCTTCAATTTGATGTGAGAGTGTAAGTGTGTGTGTGTGTACCTAATCCAGGTCATGAGCTCCACAGTGTCTGGATCAAAAAACTCCCTCAGTTCTGATAGCTCCTCCATCAGCTTAGGCCAGAACTAGAAGGAAACAGACAGGTGACGGAGATTCATAAAGGCCGTGAAGCAGAGCGTCAAAGCCAGCGACATATCTTAAATAGCATCTCCTCACTGCACTGAATACAGCAGGGTGTGTGACATCCATTTAGACTCTTCGGACTGAGAGAAATAAATAAACAGGGATGCATTCATTCCGGGTGTCCTGATTACGATCCAATTGCTCGTTCTCATTTTCTCCTGCAACTTCCATTTCAGGTTGCTTTTTTTCACTTTTCTCATGTCGTTGCGCACAGCTTCTCACAAACGGCTCCGGAATGAGACCAACTATACAGACGGTGAACACAAGACAGGCAGAGGAAACGGCATACCTTGTAATACAGGCAACCGATCACCAACAGTGGGACGGCGTGTCTGACGAGCCTCAACTGCGAAACGAGGGAAAGAAAAACAGCAGTGACCAAATGAGAGCACACAATCGGGAAAGGTGAGAGTCAAACTGAGATATACCTCAAAATGAAGACGAGCACAGAATGAGATAACGGGGGGTTAACAGACGGACAGGGCAGCATTGCGCACAAGTATCACATCACAAGTATCACATCTTATCTCAGCCAAATGCTGTTGCTGTCATGTTATGTTATGACCACACTGACACCTAGTGGCCTCACTGGCGACATCATCACCAGTCCAGAGCAGAGGCTGTGGAGTCGAATGCAACTCACAGGGCACCTCAAGTCATAGAAAGGGGAGATATCATGTCTCATTGCGGTGCTGTTAGAGGCCAGCGGCATGCTCATCGAACACAAAGTTCACTGGAACTTTGTGTCAAACCTCAATGCTTCCTGAGCACCGAAAATGTAATGCAACGTCAATTTAACGTCTGTTTGCTCAGATAAATAATAACTTATTTGAAACTGAATTTGGTTTGGGCAAAGCTCTTGTCGTGCTGCTCTTGTTACCACACCAAATGCTCTCGGGTGTTTGGTGTATTCCGTCACATAAGAGCACTGTTATATGTTTTATATACTGTATATATTATGAAACTAAGATAAAAGGTATTGATAGTGAAACACAGACCTTGTGTTTGTATAGAAACAAATGACCTGGGCATTTCAAAGTGGACAAGAGTAACACTGTGGACCTGCCCATGTATATACTATATATTCATTTTTACATGTAATAGGGTAAACATGATGAAATTGTGCGTAACACTTTAAAGCTGTATCAACCTTTTTTTTTGGAATAACATTAGCATTAATTAGGAGTCATGTTGGAGCTCAAAAGGGGCTGAAGGTAGAGCACATGGGGACTTGATGCAGGTGATGTTCTTCACTACCAGCTACATCTTCACATTACACACAACAATCTGATCTGTGACAAGCGCAGCTTTAAAAGCTGAATGTGTGTAACAGGGGTGTAATAGCTGCGATTCAGAAATGAAAAAAGCTCAAAATTACAACAATTACGACACAATTACCCGCTCCACCTGTTCCAACTTACACGCGCCCAAAGAAAAAAACAACAAAAACACTTAAAAAAACGACACGCACAAAAAAGTTTCAAATGTAAAATCAAACTGAATTGTGTTTCAGGAGAATGCATGACACCCTGAGTGTAAATCATACCTGCAAACTCATAAGAGGTGACAAGCACGCGAACCCGAAACCCTGTCGGGGGGTGCAGGGGAATGCTTCCCCGGGAGAATATTTATATAACATTTATATTCTACGGATCTACACGATTCACGTGGATGATATATTTCGATTCAAAACGGCGAATTTCGCCGAAAAGCAACAAGTTTGCAGGTAAATATAGCTTTCAAAGACATCAAAGGAAAAGAAAAGCAGTGCTGCAGATGTTTCGAAGCAGGAAGTGCAGCCGCTGTGAGCTCTCACCAGAACTTTGCTGTTGCAGCTGAGCGCGTTGAGAAGCAGAGTCCACAGCTCCTTCCCACACACACCGTAGGCCGCGACTGCACACATGTGGCCGGTCCATATATACTTCATCCTGGGTGGGAGACAGAGGCAATAACATCAAGCAGACTGTTAAATAGTTGTTGCTTTTGAAACGTCTCACCTGGTTAAATTTCCACTTGCTATTTATGTGTTTCGTATCATTCTCCGTGATACAAGAACAGAAAGATTTCTATTTAAATGTGATGCTTGGACTTTAGGATGTTCTCTTGAGCCACCAGTAGGGAACATTACATTCAAACAAGACAACCAGACTGTCGTTAGTGTAGCGGACAACTTAGCGGAACGGTTCCAGGGCTGGTTAGACTTCATTTAGAGACTTTTTTAGATCTATGTTCTGATTCAAGGCACATGAATTACAGTTCTCAAACAAATGAGGGAACGATTGAGTGAGCAGCGGGGAGAAGACAATAGGATGAAATGAGCTGAAACCTTGTTGACAGGAGCAGCGAGAGAGAGAGAGAGAGACAGCGAGAGACAGAGAGAGAGACGGAGACAGACAGACAGACAGACACAGACAGAGAGAGAGAGACGGAGACAGACAGAGAGAGACAGACAGA